TCTGTAAGTATTTTGAAATTAACATTATACACAAAAAACACAGGGTTTTGGATCATGTATTTATTAATACGACTTGTATATGCGTCTGTAAGTATTTTGCGCGTTTGCGTTATAATGCTCCAGGAGATCGCAATCCAAATACGTTGAAATACAAAACAACTGACCAAAGAGTTTTATAAGCAAAATCTCGTTTTTGTCATGTGACCCGGCCCTGTCTGTGCATGACAACGTCAATCGTCATCAAGATAACACGCGTGATCAGCATGTGAACACCTCATTGGATCACAGTTAGTTGTCATGGTGTTGAGGGATAACACGCGTGATCAGTATGTGAACACCTCATTGGATCACAGTTAGTTGTCATGGTGTTGAGGGCCCAATGACCTCTGGGTACTATTGCGCAATTTTTCCATTTTGGGGCGGAGGAAAAGAAAAACTAGACCCTGTGAGCAGGGTAACTGGGATACTTGGATGGTACTGGATCCTTGGAATCAAGTGTAGTAATACTACGGGTGTCGGATTAGTATACTGAAATATTTTTTGTAGGGTGGGTGGATTACTTGTGGTCTACATTCTTACAAAAGGAAAGAAGAGTATTAATGTGGAAAAGAACGAAAATGTCGAATTACCTCACTCACAGGTATTTTGTGGTAGATTATGTGTGTTTTGCGAATAAATGTAACCAAAAATAAACTGTATTGGTGCCACGGATACCTGTCAGTACAAAATGCAGACAGCAGACTGCAGACCGGATACAAAATATAGACTGCAGACTGCAGAGTGGGTACAAAATGCAGACTAAGAATCTGAAGAGTTTTTACGTCTGGTATATAATAATATGTCATCTTACAGCTTACCAAGCGTCACGCAATCGCTTTTCTGCGATCCGCCTTCACGATTATTACTGGGATACCTGTGGTAGCCCAGTCATAAAATGCCTTTGTTTTTTTGTCGTCTTTTTTTTTTACTGGGATACCTGTGGTAGCCCAGTCATAAAATGCCTTTGTTTTTTGTCGTCTTTTTTTTTACTGGGATACCTGTGGTAGCCCAGTCATAAAATGCCTTTGTTTTTTTTTTTTTTTTTTTTTTTCCTCCGCCACAAAATGGAAAAATTGCGCAATAGTACCCAGAGGTCATTGGGCCCCAATACCATGACAACTAACTGTGATCCAATGAGGTGTTCACATACTGATCACGCGTGTTATCCCTCAACTCCATGACAACTAACTGTGATCCAATGAGGTGTTCACATGCTGATCACGCGTGTTATCTTGATGATGATTGACGTTGTCATGCACAGACAGGCCGGGTCACATGACGAACACGAGATTTTGCTTATAAAACTCTTAGGTCAGTTGTTTTGTATTTCAACGTATTTGGATTGCGATCTCCTGGAGCATTATAGCGCAAACGCGCAAAATACTTACAGACGCATATACAAGTCGTATTAATCGCGGCTAATCCACACTGAAAGATGTTATTGAGCGGTAATTTTGGAACGGATTGAGTCGCCAACGCTTGAAAGCCATGAAAGCCTTGAATGCCTTGTATGCTAAGTATGCCAATGTCTTAGTTGAAAAATGTTCACTTGTTGTAAAAAGCAAAATCTGAAATATGAAACCAAACTGCACATACTCTATGCAATCTATTGAACAACGCTACTACCGTGAGACTGAAGAACATAACTATATGGGATGCAAACTGCTTGTGAAGAAAGACGACATGTTGGATTCACTTGATGGCAAGGAACGTAGCTACGATAACAGTACGAATGGTATTAATTTCACGATCAGAAAGGTGAATCTTACGTTTGTTTTCATTGTAGTTGTATGGATATTCTTTTTAATAAATACGTGATCCAAAACCCTGTGTTTTTTTGTGTATAATGTTGTTATGTTAAATATTGTTTACGCAATTGTCTTGTCACAAGCGGCCCAAGCTCACGTCTCGAGAAAAAGCCAACGATTAATTTATGAACGCGTCACGCGTTGTGTGACTCGGTGTTAAGTTACGAGAGGAACTGCACGTTATAAGGAATAGTACAGGGAACGAAGTATGGTCGATTTACAAGGATACATATTTCGAAATATGAACATTTTTCTCGTAAAGTCAATAAAAATTACTCATACCCTGTGTATCCGTTGTATTTTCTGGCGATTTCTGCCGTTTTAAGCTTGCTTTACCATCACTGTTGTTCACATCATCTACTTTTATTACGTTGATAAAATCTGTACAGACATCACACCAACCAACTCGCGCGCAAAGTAAGAAGACTATATTGAAGGCTTGAAATAATATTGCGATCGATTTTCATCAAGAAATGGGCCAGGAATATTCCTCAATACTGCAAATAATCGTGAAGGCGGATCGCAGAAAAGCGATTGCGTGACGCTTGGTAAGCTGTTAGATGACATGTTATTATATACCAGACGTAAAACCTCTTCAGATTCTTAGTCTGCATTTTGTACCCACTCTGCAGTCTGCAGTCTATATTTTGTATCCGGTCTGCAGTCTGCTGTCTGCATTTTGTACTAACAGGTATCTGTGACACCAATACAGTTTATTTTTGGTTACATTTATTCGCAAAACACACGTAATCTACCACAAAATACCTGTGAGTGAGGTAATTTGACATTTTCGTTCTTTCCCACATTAATATTCTTCTCTCCTTTTGTAAGAATGTAGACATCACTCACAATGTTTCAAGTAATCCACCCACCCTACAAAAAAGTAACTCTTGCATGCATACCATGCCTATGTTTTGAAATACGTCTATGCCCTTGGCCAGACTTGAGCGCACTATTTCAGTATACTAGTCCGACACCCGTGGTATCACTACACTTGATTCCAAGGATCCAGTACCATCCGGGTATCCCAGTTACCCTGCTCACAGGGTCTAGTTTTTTTTGTTTTTTTTTGTTTTTTTCCTCCGCCACGAAATGGAAAAATTGCGCAATAGTACCCAGAGGTCATTGGGCCCTCAACACCATGACAACTAACTATGATCCAATGAGGTGTTCACGTACTGATCACGCGTGTTATCCCTCAACACCATGACAACTAACTGTGATCCAATGAGTTGTTCACATGCTGATCACGCGTGTTATCTTGATGATGATTGACGTTGTCATGCACAGACAGGGCCGAGTCACATGACGAACACGAGATTTTGCTTAGAAAACTCTTTCGTCAGTTGTGTTGTATTTCAACGTATTTGGATTGCGATCTCCTGGAGGATTATAGCGCAAACGCGCAGAATACTTACAGACGCATATACAAGTCGTATTAATCGCGGCTAATCCACACTAAAAGATGTTATTGAGCAGTAATTTTGGAACGGATTGAGTCGCGAACGCTTGAAAGCCATGAAAGCCTTCAATGCCTTGTATGCCAAGTATGCCAATGTCTTAGTTGAAAAACGTTCACTTGTTGTAAAAAGCAAAATCTGAAATCTGAAACCAAACTGCATATACTCTATGCAATCTATTGAACAACGCTTCTACCGTGAGACTGAAGAACATAACTATAATGGATGCAAACTGCTTGTGAAGAAAGACGACATGTTGGATTCACTTGATGGCAAGGAACGTAGCTACGATAACAGTACGAATGGTATTAATTTCACGATCAGAAAGGTGAATCTTATGTTTGTTTTCATTGTAGTGGTATGGATATTCTTTTTTAATAAATACGTGATCCAAAACCCTGTGTTTTTTTGTGTATAATGTTATTATGTTAAATATTGTTTACGCAATTGTTTTGTCACAGGCAGCCCAAGGTCACGTCTCGAGAAAAAGCCAACGATTAATTCATGAACACGTCACGCGTTGTGTGACTCGGTGTTAAGTTACGAGAGGAACTGCACGTTATAAGGAATAGTATAGGGAACGAAATATGGTCGATTTACAACGATAAATATTTCGAAATATGAACATTTTTCTCGTAAAATCAATAAAACTTACTCATACCCTGTGTATCCGTTGTATTTTCTGGCGATTGTTGCCGTTTTAAGCTTGCCTTACCATCACTATTATTCACGTCATCTACTTTTATTACGTTGGTAAAATCTGTACAGACATCACAACAACCAACTCGCGCGCAAAGTAAGAAGACTATATTGAAGGCTTGAAATAATATTGCGATCGATCTTCATCAAGAAATAGGTCAGGAATATCTCACAATAGTGCAAATAATCGCTTTTCTGCGGATCGCAGAAAAGCGATTGCGTGACGCTCGGTAAGCTGCAAGATGACATGTTATTATATACTAGACGTAAAAACTCTTCAGAGTCTTAGTCTGCATTTTGTACCCACTCTGCAGTCTGCAGTCTATATTTTGTATCCGGTCTGCATTTTGTACTAACAGGTATCCGTGGCACAAATACAGTTTATTTTTGGTTACATTTATTCGCACAACACACATTATCTACCACAAAATACCTGTGAGTGAGGTAATTCGACATTTTCGTTCTTTCCCACATTAATAATCTTCTTTCCTTTTGTAAGAGTGTAGACATCACTCACAATGTTTCAAGTAATCCAGCCATCCTACAAAAAAGTAACTCTTGCATGCATACCATGCCTATGTTTTGAAATAGGTGTGTGCCCTTGGCCAGACACGAGCGCACTATTTCAGAATACTAGTCCGATACCCGTAGTATCACTACACTTGATTCCAAGGATCCAGTACCATCCAGGTATCCCAGTTACCCTGCTCACAGGGTCTAGTTTTTTTTTCCTCCGCCACAAAATGGAAAAATTGCGCAATAGTACCCAGAGGTCATTGGGCCCTC